TAACAAATCTATTTTTCCCTGTTTACAAAAAAAAAAGATAAAATCAATATATAAAAGATTTGTGCACACGTATTAATGGTTCGAATAGTTTTATTAGTTATTCTAATACTGATCTTCAGTGTTTAGATGGTTTAGTAATGTTTTAGCTTATATTAGGATATATTGTGAAAATAAGAAAGAGAGAGAGAGAGAGAGAGAGAGAGAAAGAGAGAGAAGGTTCCTTGATGCGTGACCAAAGGGTGTTTAGAAGGCCACATGCGGCTTCTCCCCCGCGGTATAATGCACGAACCGTATTGGCATAATTACACGGATAGCGTTAGTGTCACATCTCGAACAATGCTTGGAAAGAGGGAACCAACCCACGTGGGGTAACTGCACCTGCAAGAAATGATATTTCATCCGGCATGTACCACCGATTTTCACTGGCTTTCATGCTCCCGTCAAAATGCTAAGGGTTCAATATGCTTCATCCCTAATTTCTATTATAACCGAGATAAGACTAGGTTAGCTAATACTATTCTTGAACCGTGACCCATTTCACGTGTTCCTCTCTCTCTCTCTCTCTTTCTTTCTCTCGTTTTCTTTCTCTTTAATTCTAATTCGTCTTTTCGAAGTGTTATCACTTGAAATTGTGAAAATGATTTAATCTTGTTTCGGGAATATATTCGTTTAGATATTCCGATTAAAATTATAATGATTACAAGTAGATATTTTAAATTAATTTTTTAATAATTATAAAGGGTGAATTTAAATTAAGAGAAGAGAGAAAGAAAGAGAGAGGTTGATAGTGTTTTTTATCATTTTTTCTAACTTTCCGTTCTTGTTTTTCTCTGAACAATATATATAATCGAGAGATTAGAAATTTGTATTGTAATTCGTTAAAAAATCAACGATATAATCATTTATTCAATATTTCTCTTGTCACGTTTTCTTTTTTCTATAATTCTAAGAAAAAACAATTCAGATAATTTAAATAAACACTATATTAATTTATCGATGAACAAAAATATATCACCAATGATATTATATATATATATATAATACCAACAAACAAACAAATGCAACACGTAGTAGGTGTAAAAGATTGACAGATAGAAAAAAAAGAAAAAAAAGAAAAAAAGTGAGAGAGAAAGAGAGAGAGTGAGTGCAATGACGTATCTCCTATCTTCCTTTCCCCAAAAAAACAAGAAAAAACAGAAAAAAAAAAATATATAAAAAAGAAAGAAAATCAAGGGAGCTGCTTAGAAAATCCATCGATTGTCCGCAACGTATGCTCGGTGTCGAGTCCGATTTAACGATTTTGAATAACCAGGGCGGCCGGTTGATCGGAGAGGACCCCCCTGGTCTGCACGTGTTTCCCTCGAAAAATACTTTGCATCACCATCACCATCACCATCACCGTCAACTTGATGCCCCTTTGTACGAGCAGCAGCAGCAGCACGAAGGGGCATACCAGATCGACGAAAAGAGTAAAAGAGAGGAAGATAGATAGATAAAAAGAGAGAGAGAGAGAGAAAGGGAGTTTCATACTCAACTAGGCGTATCATTGGGGGGATTCGTCCATGCAGCATGAAGAACAGAGACAAAGAGGTTATATAGGCTTTTATTTGGCAAACATTGCTGATAGACGACGCCGGACAAAGGACCGGCATTGTTGCGTATTTACGCGGACTGACAAACGACCAAATACTCTCTTTTTCTCTCTCTCTCTCTCTCTCTCTCTCTCTCTCTCTCTTTCTGTGTCTTTCTCTCACTCCGTACACGTAGGACTTTTCATGAAAATTCGCATAGCACTTTTGATACGTATTCGTATCAACGGATATCATCCAGTACTCGTAGAATTACTTTTGTTTCGTATCACCACCCCCTCCCCCTACACCCCAACCACCAACCCCAAAAACCACACCTCGCCCCGATCGTTCCTGTTTTTTTCACCCCCCCCCACCACCCGTTTTTGTTTTGTTTTTTTCTGAAGCCCCTTTTACCTATATCCGTCGTTTCAATTTGTATTAGATAAATTTTGTTGATTGATATTTAAGGAAGATCAATTATAGGTGTTTATCTCGTTGAAAAATAAAGTTCTTAATTAACGTGTCTTATGAGAAATCGGACAGGTTGAACAAAATTTGTATAGAACGTTTAATTTGATCTCATTGAACGTTTTTCGTACCTTTTTTTATTGGTATTTCTTATTAAACAATTGAAACTTTTGATCTTTCTTAAGGAATATGTTTTATTAGAATTGATCGCGTATAGATTAAACGTGTTATCTCCACGTTTGTTACGATTTTACGTTTAATCGATGTTTATGAATAATTCCGTTGAAAATAGGGAGGGGGAAAAAGAAACAAACATAAATAAGAAAAATTTGACGAGAATATATTTTATATAGATATATCTCGTCTACGATTATTGATGAAATTTTCGAACGCGATATTTGCACATTTTTTTCGATGGGACGATTCGAAGGATTCAAAAGATACCGAAAGAGATAGAGAGAGAGAGAACAAAATAAAAAAAAAAAGATAAAGAGAAGGAAGGAAGGAAGGAAGGAAAAGGAGAAAACAGTGGTCCATTCGTTTAGGTTCACCAGCATACCTCGCCGTATGTATGAATGTACATATATATACATGTACGCACACACCCACACACCCACACACACCTAGTTATATATATAGTATATATACGTACACATAAATAGATATATAAGCATATATACGTATACATAAATAGATATATAAGTATATATACGTACACATATATGTATATAAATGTATATATACATATATATATATATGTACATTGGTGTCGGTCCGGTGCGTTGGTCGCTAGAGATATTGATCTCCGTCTCGTCGAGAAGGAGAGGAAGGAAGGAAGGAAGGTAATAGTAGATGGTGTCGTTGGGGTTGAGCACCGCATCCTCCGGTACGTCCCCAGTATTCAACAACGATAAGGGCGTATCCGGGATGAACCAATCAGGAAGCAGCTAGTGGAACAACTAGGGGCAGTTAAAGTACGCCCCCTCTTTCTATCTACCCTCTCTCGTTCCCTTAAACGGTTGACAAAGAGAAACGTATGATATAGAGAGGGGGAAGGGGGACGGGGGGGGGGAAAGCTTGAGGGTTCATCGTTAAGGGTGGGGTGTTGAATAGGTGGTTGATACCGGTCATGGAAGGGAGAGAACATTGCATATAGTGAGAGTGAGTGAGAGAGAGAGAGTAAGAGTAAGGAATAGAAAGAGGGAGAAGGGGAAGTGTAATTGGGTGGGAGTAAAGGGACAATTTTCATCCTTGGTACGATGGGTTCACGTCAAAAAAGCTTTGGAAGTTGGCCTGGTGACACACACGAGTGAAAATCGTATACCATTGGACAAACGCGTGTTACTTCATAGTGAATTTCATTTACTTTATTCTATTTTTGTATTTCTGATCTCATTTGTTTTCAATCGGTTTTAGATATTTTTAATAATATAATTATAAATAATAATATAGGCGGAGAGAAAGGGAAAGAATAAGAATAAGAAGAAGAAGAAATTAAATAATTGTTCTTCTTTCATATTTGATTTTCTTTATTTATTTTCTGTCTACCTGTATGTCTATCTGTCTGTCTCTTTCTTTCTTTCTCTTTTTCTCATAATACAATACATTTAAATTAATTTGTCATCGTATATATTTAGTTTTGTGAGATCATCGTAGAAAGTTTAACATGTGTTCGTACGATAAATCGTTAATCCTATTTGAAATTTTTCGTTCACGACGATACATAATTTTCGTTAACGAGGTCCTAAGTGTCCTCTCTTGAGATTTCCCGCGCGATGTACGACAACGTACGTATCGAGGGACCGATAAAGTGTTGTCAGATCGCGTGTTCTCTTCTTGGGATCGTGCGACGATTGGTGAAGTCTATTCGTGACACAATGTTGGAATTCTTTACACCTGTGCAAGGTTCTTTGAATCGGCAGCCGGAACCGGGACAACCCGTACCTGCTGGACCATCTCTTCCATTTCGTTCAACTGGAGACAACAATAACGCAGGTTTTTTCTTTTATTTATAATTTATATTGAATATTGTATTTCGTTGAATTCATTATGAAGAGATTTGTATTAGTTAGAAAATGGCGAACTTTAAGATGAACGTTGAATTATTTTCACACAATGTTAGATTTGTTCTTTATTTAATATTAATCATAATCGAAAAATGATATTTTATTTTATTTTATTTTATTTTATTTTATTTGGATGATGATTTTTTCGGATAAATTTGTAGATTTACGTTTGAGTAAAAATATGAAAGATCATTCTGATAAATGTATCCATTTATATGTTACTGTTATTTGTCTTTAGAATTTATTCGCATACGCGTTTAAAGGAAAATGATATTTTCCCATAAGAATGATAAAACATATAAAGGGGGGGTCTTGAAGCATCAGGAATATATTATCATATTACGCGATTATTTTATTATCTAACCAAATTGTAATGTTCTTGAGGTGTTGTTATACATAGTTATTTTAATGTCGAACTCAAAGGAATCTAATCTTTTTCCTGTTAAATTCTAATCCCACAATCGATCACGTTATCGTTTTATCAGCGTTCGCCGTCGATAAGGGTTTGAATAAATCTCACTCGTGTGTGTGTGTGTTTCTCGTCTATCTATACTTTTTATATATTCATAAATTTGTTTATTATTTGTACGATAGAGATCGCGAAAGAAAATAATCAATAATTATTTTCGTTGTGTATAATTAAACTATCTAAGAAAATAATCAAAAGACTTTCAAACACTGATCACTGATGCAAATTTGTGTCAAGAATATAATAAAATTCATTTCAATTGTCTCACTTATAAATCATATCAATTAAACTTGAAACCCTGAGATAGTTTTTATAAAATAATAATAATAAAAAAAAGGTAACACAATTAACGTGTCTACAAATTAAAGAACAAAAATACCCCCCTAAAAAAATTAGTCATTAATTTATAAAAAAACGAAATACTTTAGAAAGAACAAAAATAAGTCAACGCGGGTTAATAATAAAAAAAAGTATTTTACAAAATACAAAAATACCTAMAAMAATTAGTCATTAATTTATAAAAAAAGAACGAAATATTTTAGAAAGAAGAAAAATAAGTCAATGCGGGTTAATAATAAAAAATAGTCAATATATTTGTATGACAGTTGTATATCTAATGATTTTACAGAATCGTCGGTTTCCGTGAAGACGGAATCCGGACTACTGGAAACGATCTGTGCTGGATGCGGACGTACGATCACGGATAAGTACGTGATGAGAGTAATGGAAAGAAACTATCACGAGGAGTGCCTCTCGTGTGCGGCATGTGCCGCACCGTTGTCGCAATCCTGTTTCATACGTGACCTCAAGTTTTATTGTCGATCCGATTACGAGAGGATCTTTAGCGTTAAGTGTGCCCGATGTATGGAGAAGATCAGCTGCAGCGAGATGGTCATGAGAGTTGCCGGTTTGATCTTCCACATGGAATGTTTTGCCTGCTGCATGTGCGGCCAACCATTGCAAAGAGGCGCTCATTATATTTTGCGTCAGGGACAACCTATTTGCCTTCAGGACTTGGAACACGAGCTTTATATGAAAAGTCCTCAAGGTTAGTCTTTATACTATTATCATCAATTAAAATAATCTTCGTTCCCTTTTTTCGATCACCTTCCTAATTTTCCTCTATGTCTATTCAATTTTATTTCACATCTAATGTTATATAATATAATATATAAGTTTCAAAGGGAATTATAGACGGTTAATAAATCTGATGAACAATTTATTTTGAACTAGTTGTTCATTATAGTTGAAAATAATTATTAATTCATATAGTTGAAAATAATTATTAATTCATATAGTTGAAAATAATTAAAATGAACAACTAGTTCAAAATAAATTGTTCATCAGATTTATTAACCGTCTATAATTCCCTTTGAAACTTATATATTAATATATTTTTTGGACAAGAATATTGATAATTAAGTTATATAATATATATATTCTTATATTCAAATTTTTTTCTTTTGAAATACAAAACACCTGTCGGTGAATTTATTTGAAAATCTTTTTTGATTATTTCCTTCTACAAATTCCAAGATTCGTCACGATTAAATGTTTTTAATTTTCCTATATAGATCAGAAATTAAGATTATTCGTTTTAGATGATACAGGGATTAATACAAATGATATATATTTATCTATCGTTTTCAAATGAAAACTCCTGTCGGTGAATTTATTTAAAACCCTTTTTTTTGATTATTTCCTTCTACAAATTCTAAGATTCGTCACGATTAAATGTTTTTAATTGTCCTATATATAGAAGATCAGAAATTAAGAAATACAGGGATTAATACAAATGGTATTACTTATATAATTCTCTATTGTTTTAAACTATGACCAATTAAAATAGTCTTCGTTCCACTTCCCCTCCTCTAACCCCCTCGATCTCCTCGTTATATTCCTATTTTGCAAATTTTCCTATATCCAATTTTCTTATATTTAATATGATGCTTTATTAGAATCCTGAAAACAATATTAGACATTCCATTTAAAAAACTAACGATGACTTTGATATCTCATTAAAAAAGTATCTTAAAAAATGCTTTTGTTTACTACTATATTTGTCCCCTAATTTCGTTTAACTATGCAGAAAACATATTTTCATACAATATATATTTTACGAATTATTTTAAAACCCTGATCCTGTATATATATATTCTTATATCCAATTTTCCATATCCAAATTTTCTTCCTATCAAATAAAAAATCTCGTTGAAGTACTTACTTAAGACCCTTTTTGATTATTTCCTTCTTAAAATTCGAAGATTCGTCACGATTGTACGTTTTTAATTATCCTATATAGAAGATCAGAAATTAAGATTATTCGTTTTCGATGATATAGGGATTAATACAAATGATATATATTTATCTATCGTGAATGGTTAACTTTTGTTACACGTTGTACACGGTGAAGTTGATCGAATCGTATAGAATAAAAAAAAAAAAGAGAAGGTAGGTATTATTCCTTCACGGTTCACGACAATTATGTAATCGAGGTAGATCATTCAATCTCGAGAAAAATATGTGAACTTAGTATAAAGTTGTAATTACCTTGGATATATAATATAACGAAAGATCTATTCACATTTTAAATGAAAATTAATTGTTTCTATAATCACACACATATACACATATAAATATATAATATATTTGATCTAGCCTTAATCGTAATTATAATCATTTCGAATCAATGATCTTTCGTAGGATCACGAAAGAATAATGATTTTTCTTTTCTTTTTCCTTTTGTTTTTCTAAAGGCGCTTAATATCAAACCTTTGTTCTTTTTTTTTTTATTCTTCTTTTCGTTTTACATTAAAATTAACGTCTCGTTATAAATTGGACAATAAAGAAAAAAAAAATAAAAAACAACAGTACAAAAAGAAAAGAAAAGAAAATGAATAAAAAAAAATACAATTTGAATCAATTACGTTCTATTAATAACCAGCGCCATATGCAAACGTATTGTATAGTACATACCTTGTTGCATTGTTCGCAGGTTGTTGTACTACAATCTAAAGACATCCAAAGTTAAAACCTTCAAGAATTTCAAAGAAACAAGGCTGTCTCTTTCCCAAGGTAATTACAAATTAAACAAGCGTTATTAGAAGACGGATTGTCGAAATAAAAATTCGTTCCAAATATATCAAAAAAAAAAAGAAAAAAAAAGAAAAAAAATAGAAATAATAATAATAATAATAATAATAACAATACATAAGATCTATCTTTAAAAAAAAATAATAATCACGCATACCAATATTAAACATATAGACGTTAAAGAAAATCAATTATTTCGTATTTTTTTCTTTTTTTTTTTACTTTTCTTAACAATATATATATATATAACATTAAAACAAAAATTAAACTCGATTGATGATTGTCTGACCATTCGTTGATTGACCATTGTCTGATCACAAAAACTATTACCTTCCTCTACTTAATTCGTTGCGTAAGAAAGAAAAATCTAAGTAGTTAGTGTCGATATTATGTCAGACAGTAATAGAAATAACGCGAATAACGTATGGGGATGATTATCTTTCATACACATAATCACGTAATCATTTGAAAACGTATTCTCACGTGAAATCAAACCCCAACATCTTAATAAACATTTCGTAAGATTGCGGTAATAATATTACTCAAAGTAACGACATACTTCCCCCTTCTCTTCCTCCCTTTCTCTCCCGTTAACCTCCCGCCCCGCCCCACCCACCCCCCTATCCATGGCCCCGTTGTCCACTTTATCCTTATTTAAAGTACACAACAATTGTTATGGGTTTAGCTTGAATTTCCAAAGGTAAGAACAACAATTCTGATTTCCTTCAAGTTTATCTCCAAGTTTCCGAAGACTTTTCTTCCCAATCGGTGTGTACCACCCACCCACCCACACCCCCAACCCTCTTTTGCTATCTTTCTTTCTCACCTTTTTCTCACTCTCTCTCTCTCTCTCAGCTAGAAACGGTATCAACGTTTATTCCCTCATCGAGAGGTGGCGCCTTTGAACTCACAGATCAATACTCGCCCGACAGACGAATAACTTTTTTGTCTTTTCTTTTCTTTTTTTTTTTTTGTGTCTTCTTTTCCTTTTCTTCTTATTCTTCTACTGTTTTTTGTAACGGGGGTTGGGGGTTAGGGATGGGGGGGTGTTTGTGTGTGTGTGTGTGTTTTGGTAATTGAATATTACGTATTAGAAGAGGGTACCCTTAACTCGATTAAAATTCGAAAATTCAATTACAAGATCCGTTGTGTTTGAATTCGTGTATTGATTATATAGTTAGATCGTGTTATTTATAAGATAAGGATGATTGATATTTTTAAATGTATTTTTTTATCGTTTTTTTTCGAGGGGGCGAAAGGGAGGAGCGGGTGTGTTTATTTTATTTATGAATTTGTTCAAGTTTCTATGAAGATGTTTCTTTTATTCGCACACAAAATAAACTTGCATATTTTATCGTATCATTATTAATAATTAATCGATATAGGTTTCGGGTATGGTAATTCTTTTTTTTCGAAAGTTTACAAATTAAAATATGATGTGAAATCAATTTTATAATTTATATATTAATATTCGTAGAGAGTTTATATTCTTTTTTTCTTTTTTTAATAAAGAAACAAAATTCTATATTTTATTATTATTATTATTATTATTATTATAACAATAATTAATATAAATGAATTGAATGGTTGAATGAATGATAAAATTTGGTTTGTCGAGAAGACGATTTATTGGATGAAAATCGACTACCTAATGGTAGAAGGGGAAATGTTG